TGTGCAAACACGGGGCTCCCATGGCAAAACGTAAAAAGCGATCCACTTTACAGGGACATTTTGTTCAATCTCCTTTATAAATAAAACCACCCAAGCTAAATAAAGTACTAACCACAGCTAATCAGAACTGTGGGGGCACTTGGTATGATAAACCCAATTCAGATCCATTTTACTTTCCTTTATTTAGCTGTGGTTTAATTATACCGCTAGCTGCAATACTGAAGTCTTGGTATTGTTCAGCCTGATGTTTTTCCCCTCCCTTTATGAGCATCTTTGACTAATTTTTTAATGGCTTATTCCTGCTTGTCTGGAGGCCATTTCTCTTTCTGAGAAGAAGTTGACAACAGAGTCTGATTTTCCATTGCAGGACTTCCATGAAATTGTTACATTGGCAGGCCCACTTTCTGAAATGTTATTAACAATTCTCTATGGCTATGTCTACACTGGCACGTTCTCACGCAAAAAGCTCTTTTGCGGAAGAGTTCTGCAAAAACTCTTCCGGAAGAGAGCATCTACACTGCCATGTTCTTTTGTGCAAGAGATGTGCTTTTAACCATAGGGCTTTCTTGCGCAACAAATTCATGTTGCCTGTCTACACTGGCCTTTTCTGGAAGAGGGCTTATTCCTGAGCGGGAGCATCAGAGTTCTGGTGCAAGAAGCCTTGATTTTATACATTAGAACATCAGTTTACTTGCGCAAGAACATGCGGCCAGTGTAGACAGGAAGCAAGTTTTTGCGCAAGATCGGCCATTTTTGCGCGAGATCGCGCCAGTGTAAACACAGCCTGTTAGTCTTAGCATGGAGTTTTCTATGATTTTCATAGCTTCTGAAATGTATAAATGATTAGTAAATAGAGCAGCAATAGCTAAATGTATTGGCCTAATTGACATTCCCTGTTGGTAAAAATCCTTATTGCCTGGTATAACAAGTATCTACTCCAGCATTTCCTAAAGTGTGGGGTGTATCCCCCAAGGGGAGTCACATCATACTCACTGAGGGGCACAGACAAGTGTCTCCTTTGCTCTCCAGGGACTCAGCTTTCATTTAGAAAAAAAGGAATTCTAGCTGCTATGGTTGAGAAAATAACTTGGAAAACATGACCCAGGTGCAACCAACATGGTGTCTGCTTCAGTCTGAAGAAAGCCTGACCCAGTCGCTGTGTAGTGTGAGCTACCATGTTCATTTCAGTGGGTAATAACTTAACCACTTCTATATTTATGAGCCAGAGATCGATCTTCTGGCGTTCCATTTAGGGGGTCTAGTAAAGACCTGCTAAACGGAATGCTGAGGGCACCCCAAGTCGGTTTTGGCTCTCCTTGCTCCCATCGGCCTCCCACTGGGAAGACGGCGCAAAGATTGGTTTAAGGTATGTTAATTCAGCTATGTTATTTACGCAGATGGAGTTGCGTACCTTAAGCCAACCTTCGGGGTCTAGTAGAGATCTGGCTTTAGATGCCTATGATGATGCTTTGAACATCACCCTCCTTAACTATCTCCCTGCTCATCACAACCTGTAAGTGACGAGGACTGGGAAAATCTATCTGATCTACTCTGAGTGACCACTCCATTTGGGTAGGCATTTAACTACACGAGGGTGCTAAAGGGTGTGTATATGGGTGTGATTGGTTTCATTTTCCTGGGTGGTGACTCAGCTTTCACACTCCCTGGCCACTGGGCTGAGGCCATAGATGGCATCCACAGCCCTCCACGTGGCCAGGAAAGATCAGGCTGGGGGCGGGCGGAGCTTGGATCCAGGGATGGGCCTCAGGCAGAAAGGGCAGGGCTCGAGCAGTCATCCCTCAGCACTGCCCAGCCTTCACAGTTGCCTGGAGCACGCTACACAGCACTCCTGTGGCGATTTAAAGGGATCAGTGTCCAGGTCCTTTTGAATCACCGAGGCCTGGGGCAATTGTTCCCTTTGCCCCCTGCTGGTGGGCCTGTCTTTCAGGAAGCAGTACTCCTATCTCTGTAACTAACCTGACCCTACATAGGGATGGTTGACCAGGCATTCCTAGCCCACGTTTTCCATATCCCATGCCCAGTGCGCAGGCAAGAAGGGAGACAGTGAATGGGATTACATGTTCCCTGTCTGATGGAAGCTGCAATGTGCTGTTTTACTGTGTGAAGGAGGAAAATGCTGGGCCAGATTCTCTCCTCAGTTACATGACCTCACTGTCTCTCTGCAATTTAGTGGACACGAGGGCTAGACTGGGAGTTCATTAGCTACAGGCAAGTCACTGGAGTTACACTGGTGTAAGTGAGAGGCATATCAGAACCGTTATATTGTAGGGAATTATTTTAGTGGCATAGTCAGATTTCCCCTTGGTGTGTTGTAAGTATAGGGCTTGGGTGCTCCTGGGTTCTAATCCCATCCACTGACAGGCTCTCTTGGTGACTTTGGTGTGGCTGCCTTAGTTTCCCCCATCTGTACAATAGGTGTAATAACAGAACTTCTGGAAGGTGCAAAACTCTAGGTGCTGTTATTTAGGTGGAAGATTCTTTTTTGAAAAAGTATCTTGATAACACTCCTCTGGTGCCTCGGTCGGCATTGCGAGGGTTCTCACTGTTTCCGCTCATCTTTTCCATCCATGTGCAGATTTTTTCCATCCATGGGTGGAATAATTTTATGTGCACCGAGGCATGTGTCAATGTGCACCACCAGTTGAAACAAAACACCTAGCTGGGGGCGCTCTGCTAGTCAGCTGGGTGGCGATGGAATCTCTCCTGAGTGGCCGGTGATTCTCATTTACTGTTCACATTCCTGAACTGCTCCCCACCCCTGAAAAGCCCGGGTGGGCTCCCCGAGGATCTGCAGGTGGATGGCACGGCAGAGGCGTGGTGCCGTGTTTCTTTGGCAAATCTGGGGTCCAAAACTGGACACCGCAAAATGCCTTTCAGCGGAAATCCTTGTATCCTTGCCAGATGGGTCGATGTAGCCACAGGCAGCTTGTGACTCTGCTGCCAGGCCAGCCGGCCAATCCCCAGCCTGCAATGTGATGGGAAAGGGTGTGCTTGCTACACTGTATCCCCCGGCACCAGGACTGATTGCAGGAATCGACTGGATCGATTGCTTTAGCCAGCCCTGTGAGAGAAACACTATCCTGGACATTGTGCCTGTCCCAGGGCGCCAGCTGGGCACTGGGGTGCCTGGAGGGAATGGGGGTGTCAGGAAGGATGCCCCCTCCATGTACAATACTGCCCAGCCAGTCCTGGCCCCTGCCGAGGGCAGGGGCTGCACTAAGTGGCTCCATGCGCTGATCCAGTGTGGCACGTCCGTGTTGCGGATTAGCTGGAGAGCGAACAGCTCCCAGTGATTTTGTGAATGGTGCTGCCCCATTGCTGGCTGCCTGTCTGGTTTATGGACGAGCCATCCACCCCCAAACTTTGCAAGCTCCTCCCGGGCCTGATCCGGTCTCTGCCTCCCCTGGGGGATCGAGGCGCTCGGCCCCTGGCAGGATTAGACTTTGCTCCATGGAGCTAATACCCACCGACTCGCTGAGGTCTGCTCAGACCACCTGCATGTCAGTGGGGGCCAGCAACTCCCCCTCCCGCAATTGCTGGGGCTACGAGGCAGGTGCAGGCAGCTCCCTGCCTATTCCTTTGACCTCATGGGAGCGGGTGCTGGGCCCAGAGCTGCCGGGCCCATGAGCTGGGAAGCTCCTCAAGTACCCCTCTGCACTAGTCTAGTCCTCAGGAGAGCCAGCTTCTATCTGTGTCTAGGCTGCTGGGTAACCTGGGCAAGTCACTTCACTACCGAACTGTACAATAGGGGTGCGATGCTGACTTCCCTTCCAGATCACTCGGAGATCGACTGATCAACAGCATGAGCTAGAGATTATTTATTAATATTATGTATTAATATTAATATCTGCGTGCACAGATGGGCAAATGCCTTTGTGCTTCCCTCTCCTTTTCCTCTCTCCGCTCCCCTAACCCCAGAGGCTCCTGTGTGAAAACAGACAGTGCCTGCAGACCCTGCATGCAAGCAGACCCGTCTCTGTCTGTTTGGCTGGCTTAGACGCTCATATGTCTTCCCAGTGACGGTGCTCACATAGGCACTACAAGGAAGCAGTCTGTTGGATCTCTGAGTGTCATTCTTAATTCACTAGGTAAGGCCCAGAAGACCCCTTGGAGATAAAGTAAGTCATTTCACCCACTACCAGAATGCAGTCACTGCTGGGGAGGAGCACGTGGTGTTTGGGACAGTGCCGCTGCACGTTTGCTTCCGTTTTGTCGCGTTCAGGTTCTGTGTCCAAACGGTAACGTGTATCTTTGTTTTCTCATTGCAGAGTCTCTCACTGGATCTGTTTGGTGAAGTAGCAGCAAAGACTTTGCAGCCTTGTGCTTC